AAAAAGCCACTAGCCAAAATTTTTCTTAAGCAGGCTTTTAAAACGCAGGACACAGTAGCACACAAATTCTATTGTTTAACAATACCTTCTGTTACATGAATGAGAAAGTACCTGATGTACACACAACCCGACTCAAAGACAATGCTTATGGCTGCTCTTATTTTAAGTTCATAAGTGCAAAAAATACCTACAAATCTGACTATCAGATTTCCACAGTTGTCTTCTAAAATAAAAACAACAGTGAATGTCATTTGCAGACTTAACATTTCCGTCAAGTACCTTCATCCCCATCTATTCCGTCACGATAATACGTAGGTAAATTTAAGTCACAGATATTATGACTGAAACTGTTAATAACGATTCCATTAGAACGATTATTACTTGACCACCTCTTATTGATAACTGCTAGACTACAGGTATAACAAGTGCGTGGTCATCAAGTGATTTAGAATACTAAAAAATTGGGCTTACATAGAAATATTTTTACGGAAAGACACGCCTCTTTCCCACTATTGCTGCTTCCTTATGCCTCCTAAATAAAATTAAAAGTCATATCGCAAATGAGGACTTGTTTATGTGACGCTGTTCTCCCTTCGGTCACCTGCCGCCAAAAAAATACATTTTTCTCAGTCTAAATTATCAGTAGAATTTATTTATAAAATAAGTAATTTCTACTTTCTCAAGGCTACACCAAACACCAATAAATTAACATTCCGCACGTACCGCATAAAAATAGTAAATAAGCCACTGGTTGCTTTAAATTCTAAACTTATTTCGTATCAAAATTTTTACGCGAAAGATAACTGGTACAAATAATGTTAGTAGATTATTACTGTTGAGAAAGCAATCGCGAGAAACTCAGACAAACAATTTTTCAAAAACTTAATTAATCTCGTTTTTCGGAAGATCTAATAGCATTGGTAAGTGCAACCGAGTCAAAAGCTGCACCAGTCATCCAACCCAGAAGCGGACAAACCCAGTACGTTACTATGAACCACAAAGTATTCAGCCCGTCGCAACCGTACATTCGAGATGCAGCCACTGTCGGATTCAAACCCACTACACCAATGAAAGCAAGTGCTGAAACCCATTATTCTACAGCAACGAATTAAGAACAGTATAATACTAATTTCATTTTGCAAGCTGAACAAACTCTATAAAAGTCTGTTAGAAGAATCCTAAGAGCGGTATGACGTCGGAAGTCATTCCCAAATTCAGATTTTTCTAGAGGAACATGGCCCCAAAAATACACTTACAGAAGGCCAGAAAAGAAGCAGTAATGACAGGTCCAAAATATGTCTTGAAACGAGGAGGAATTCGGGCCAGCAGTAGGCGCAGTAAAAAGCAACCAACGAATTCAAAAGCAAACGCCACCGTGAATGGCACCTAGAAATAAGGCACTGGTAGTCGTCAAAAGTAAAGTGTTAATGGGCAGTTTATAAAGTAGAAAATAAAGACAAAAGGGTTTTTCATGAAGCCAAAAAATTATGAGTATTAAGATACCGGTTTGTTCCTGTAACCTCATTTTTTCTCTTAGAAAAATAAAATAGAAAAGTAAAAAATACTTTTAGTTTAAAACCAGACCTTATAAACAAATGCGCATTTTGTATTTTCGTAGTTTATTGAATGTTCCAAAGTTAACACTGATGTAGAGTACCATAAATTCCTTGCAATACGGAACGCCAAATAACCGCCGACCGCTTGACCAAGTATAATTTCAACCAAGCCTTGAGATCTAAATATAGCTTAAAATCTGGAATATGCATTAAAAAAAAACTGATTTACATCTACCACTCCGCTCTCCCTGATAGAGAAAGAAAAAAAAGAATTAAAGAATCAAATAATTTTTCAGTTTAATAAAAAAAAACAAAGGAAAAACTCTTTTGCCTCTAAAAGACTGATAAATTCTACAATTTTACGTGCGCCCCATGAACTGCTCACTTCGCAAAGTATTCAAAGCAGCTCTGAACCAACAAGTCAACACTAAATATCAGTGCGTAGCTAGAAAATTCAACAGTAATAAAAGCAAAAAAAAAAAAAGTTACTTACGAGATAGCTCCTTTAAAGAAAAGTTCTATAGGAGCCAATGGAGAAACATAACCACCGCGATTGACATTTGCTCCTGCTATTAGAATCGTAGAAACAACAAAAAAGAATCCCCACGGCCCGTAGTTGCGAATGATGACAGCTGCAAACCAGACCGTTCAAAGGTACACAGCGCGAAAAAAACTGTTAACTCAAAATCAAAGTTGACCATTAAGCTTTTCGCGGAGGGAAATCTACAAGCTAACTGCCAGGTTATCAATAAAGTTGCTGCTTTGTGGTGCTCCTGCGCAATAGTATAAAATAATAAGCAAAGAGGGAACTTTTTTAGTAGGAACAAAAGCACAACACATAGTAAACACCACTCAGTACGTCTAAGCAATAACTACAAAATCGGGACGTAATGCCCACCGTTCTCATATACACAAGTGCACATTTGGGCGGTAGTTATAGCTTCGATTAAAAACCGCTGTAGCGAGCTTCCTGGATCTAGATATCTGAGAAACAATTTACAATACATTATAATCATTTATTTTTCCTAATAAAACTTTCAGGATTAATAAAAATTCTTCAGAATTATTACATAGAGTAATTATCGACCAATAACAAAAAATTCTGGAAAAAAGAAGCTTATAACTTCAACTGAATTCATTTTTGCGATAAACACAAAAAACCAAAATATTAGTAAGATTCAGGTATTAACTAAAAATAAGCGGAAAGTTATAAGAGAATTCAAGACCGATAAATAAAAGCAAATAAAAAAACTTACTTTCTTACCAGATGACGAGAAACTTGACCAAGAATGAAAACAATTATATAGAAGCATCCTGCAACAAAAAGCGGAATAAAATCGTCTAGTTGTTTGACCATTGCTCTGCAAATACTGATTCTTTAAAATGTCAACCACGGTTGTTATCCAAGAATTCAAGTAAAAAAAAAAAAAAACAACGTTTGATTACGAAATATCTTGCCGTACAATGCGGTCCAAGTAACTAATTGGACAGTCTCACACAGGAACCTTTTAGCGTGACATACGTCTATTTACTAATAGCTACTAATGGAAAAATTGAATACTTAAGTCGGAACATTAGAATAGAAAATGCCTTAAACGGCACTCAGCAACGAGAACAGCGAATTCTTTGTGGCCATAATGCATTACTTTACCAAGTGTAATATGACTGGATGTACAACTGCCAAATTTTTTTTTTGACATCTTTTGACCGATAGGTACGCTGTAGTTATGATACAAAAACGACAAATGGCTATTGAACCCACAGGTGTAATAAAAATGGCAACGATTGCCCAAAACAAAGTGACCATACACATCAATCAGATCGATAATTCAAGACTGGGCAGCTATATCAAACATCACATACATTTTGCACTATAAAAAAGGACCAGCGGTCTCCTGCACTGTATAGCGTAAATTTTGCAAACACCGATTCTGCGGTTCTCAGGCACAAAACCGAGATCTATGACCAGTCCCATTGGAATGTTCACCACTCTGTTCTATAGTTGACAAACTGTCGCCACTGCCTATGGCACTGTCGACAAACAACTACCAAGTTGAAAAAAGTGGAAAACCATAAAATAGCCTCTTTATTCATTTCGTTCTTTAAGAACTTCGGCAACAGCAGTACGGAGAGTGGCATCCATCACTAATACCTCGGAAGGAAATGACACTTAGAATCGAATGGTGTGCTGTCCTCTGTAAAGAATGCAGCGATATTTGTTTAACTTTAGCTCGAATATTTTCATAAACAAATTTTGATAAACAAATTTTAAGGCTGCATTCATCGCTTATTATGAGGTCTTATAAGAACCGAAAGCTTACCTAAAAGAGAAATGTACTCCAAAAATCTCTTTAAAAGGTAAAAACTAATTAGAGACTCCTCTTCCTTTTTCGAATCCATTACTTCGTCAGGGTCAAAGAAAAACCTTAATAGTAGTTTTCGCGTTCTTTGACACTCAATATATTCTGGTGCATTAGTCAATATCCACCTCGTAAGTGTTTGTACTAAAATAAAGTGTAGCATTTGCGACAACACTAGAGAAAACTTGCCTTGGAAATTCTATGAGACTATGTCTTCAGGTTTAGGACATGCAAAGCTCCAGTGGCTTTACACGCTGGTAAATTTTTGTAATGAGCCAATCTCAAACATTAAAACTGAATTTACTTAAGCGGGGAAAATTAGAATTTGAAGAGCAACTAGGCGGGTAATAAGATGTAACTTTTCGTTCTGTTTGATTGACAAGACCAGTTCCTTCTTCTAAGATGGCTGACTTACTTTGGCAATCAGATTTAAGACAATCTAAAAAGGTCTGAAAGTTTACATCTTGTAAGAGTTCGTTCTTCTACCGTTTAAACAGTGTTGTAGTTACAAGAAAAAAAAGATGACAAATAGAAATTGTATTTTTGGTAGACTTTTTTAACGAACTTTTAAGTGGCTGAATTCACTTTCTTCAGCGTCTTCAAGAAAAAGCGAAAAAAAAACTTAGTTGATGCTAAGCTGTAAATAATAAAGTTGTAAATAACGAACGAAGCCTTGAGATTTATTCGGCATTAAAATCTTTCTACTACTGTAAAATAAATTAGGTTTTTCTGTTTAAATAAATAAATTTTCCCCGAATTATTCTTTTGTTTACCAATTTTTTTGCTTTATGATTTTTAACTTTAAAACCACTTCAATTTCTAAGTTAGTTACAGTAAATTATTGACAAAATTCCTAAATTTCTATTCTTAGAAGATCCAAGATAACTAATCGTACTTCTGATTGATGACGTAGTCTAAAATATTAGTTAAAATTTACTGCAGCTTTGGCGGTTATTATTTTTTGTTAATTAAAAGCTCCAGTCATCCATCCTTTTTTCTGTCTGCCTAATTTTCTTTTAAATTATTTTGGACATGGGTTGCAAAAGTTTACTGAATCAGAACAATTCTGTGGTCTAAAAGTAGGACAGAACATAGAAGACGTTGGTAAAATCAATTAACTTATTCTGCAAATATTTTTTACAACTTCCAAGTATCTCATTACCGCATTCCAATACTTTCTTTATTTCGCTTTTCTGAGCCAAGAAAAACTTTGTCTGATTAGCTAAAATTTAGCTGAAACAAAAAGTTGACAAGTGAGAAAAGGGGCAGAATTAAAACTAAAGATATATATTGGAAAGTTATCTTTAATAGGCCACGCATGAATCTGCCTTTTATTATTATTACTATTTCTTTTTGAAAATTAAGGGAAAAAATAGAAACTGATAACAAGGCATTTAAACAAGCGACACAGAAGTTTAGCGCAATTTTGCGGACGTCGGTGGGGTAACCTCCAGGTGCCTTTGAGTACCGCAGTGGCATTGAGCCAAAACCGCTGGAGTTTCTCCAGAAGAACATCTCTTTTGATCAAAAAACGCTCCAAATTACCGATGAATCGGCCAATGAATGAAGCGTCTTTATATGAATGGTGGTTCGCGAATGTCCTTCAGTATTGCATAACGTATTATAGAATTTGAGAGCACGTTAACTCCAAAAAAATTTAACCATACACCCAAAAAAACGCTCTTGAATCATCTAAAACACCTTTCCAGAGTTCAGAAGGACATTCTGAAATGTTGCAAAAGTCCGTTGTAGAAAAATGAGTGTTCTCTGATACACGAGCACCGCTGTTGGACGCTCTGCACGCTCATAATCGGTCCTAAAACTTCCACCTTTGTAAAACTGTTATTGGAAGACAAGTTCGCAGTTCCGTTTATCGTTTGCTGTATAACTTTGTGCATTCTGCACCGTGGTTGGTCTCATGGAAACGAAAGAAAACAAGACTTTAAAAGTGAGCTTTTTTGCTCTAATTTTATGTTCTTTATAGTCTAGAATGTAAAACTGTAACTTTTCTTTGGATTAGGTTTACTGAGAAGACGCTTTTTGATTTTCTTGGCTGTTGGATTCTAGTAAACTTTAGAAATTGGAAACTTTATTAGCTTTTTATTTTTGAGAAACAGTGAAAGAGATAGATTATACTCATAAGCTATATTTTTAAATTTATTTTTATGGCTTTTGTGAAGTAAAGAACAGTGCGTTTTGTTCCTTATTGACTTCGTCTTCTTTTTTCAAAGTCTCCAATTTATTTGACAACATAGTGGACTACAAGAGGCAGCAAAGCGAAAGGAAAGAAATAAATTTAGATATTTGTTGTTCACTTAACTGTAAGACTTTTTTTTCCTTTCCTGTTGCTATTCCTCTCTGTTTTTGTATCTGTTACCCTCTTTATCCTCGATTCCAGCCATTTATATTTCTTCTGCTGGTTAAAGATTTTCCTCGTTTCCACAACTTTTTAGACTTCTTCTGTGAACACTGTTTTTTTTTTTCAAAAATGTTACAGTTTTTCGTGACCACTTTGGTGTTTTTAATATGGTCTTGTGTTTCTTTTTTAAGGGGTTTTTGGGTAATTATGATGTGACCATGCTTTTTTTTTTTGCACATATGCTTCTTGGAAACTCTAAGAAAACTAGATTTCTACTGTTCTCTTGTTTTCTCAGTTCATTTTTAAGCATTAGGTTGTAGAAAATTTCATCAAGCTGCTGTACGACCACTTATGGATGAAAACGAGGTGATCAAGCTACTTTTTCTGTTTAACCGTACCTTCCTATATAATTTCCGACTTTTAGATTCACTTCTTTAATTTTTGGCACTCTCACCATCTCAATGAAATGTTACCAATTGCAAAAAGTGGCAAGAACTACTAGGGTGCCACCAATACTTTACATTTTCTGCTTGATTTTTTTTTCGCTTTTCTTTTAAAAAGGACAAATTTTTGGATGGGATCGAGCGAGTAAATTCTAATCGCAGAACGAGCATGCATAATCATTTAACATTGGAAGCAGTTCAAAGGAAGGACTGTACGGGGGGATTTCTAGAGGAATCTGTAGTTGCGAACAAAATTCAGGAAAATGGTTCATATTCAAAATAACTTTTCAGATAATCTAACTCAAAGGAAACTTTATTACGATGAGTTTATTACATATTTCCTCGACTTTTTCCTAAGTTTTTGTAAACAGCTCAAAATTTGTAGTTGAAGGAAACATTTGCGAGAAACATTGGTGATGCCACTCTGCGAGGAGAAGCATGGAAGCTTTGCTCAATATGTTGGTGGAATTTGGAAAGCAGTTTCTGTTTATAACCATCGCAGTCCAAACGTATGCACAAAAAAAGAATTAATTTTTTTTAAGAACTATTATTTTTTTGCCTATATCTAACGAGCGTTTTAGTAACGGTATCAAAAACTTTATCTTTATCGTTTCCGTGCCCGAAAGTTTCCAGAAGGCTGGTGAGCAACCTACTACAGTTATACTCAAGATTCATTTTACTGAGAAAATTGAGTTTACGTTGGCGGACATGATTACTAGCGTCGTACTCTCAGAAAGGTAAAAGATTTATTCTGCTGGAGATCAACTTCCAGATATCACTTTAAAATTGATGTTTTACCCTCAAAATCAAAATTAAGACAAAGGCTTCTGGTTTTAGGGGAATAGAACCGGTTGTTTTAAGAGCATTTCCTGAGGGAAGGATTGAAGAGTACATCCCGTCACGAATTATTACAAATGAAGAGATGTGTAATATCCAGGAATATTGCAATTATTTCTGATAATTTTTAGCTAAGTTATTAATTGTGAGTAACAGTACAGAAGTCGAATGCTCCACTTTTACTAAGGTAATTTAATAAGAATATAATATAATTCAATTTGTAGTGTTGGTTGTGAAGTGGAAAAAATTCTAACTGCTAAATTCTAACTTTTTAAATTCTAACTCATTTCTAAATTCTAACTCATTGAACGTTGCAGTTTCAAAGGAAATTAAACTTTATAATGAAGTAGAGGAAATGGTTAGTTGTCTACGTAGTGCATCAAGGTGGAAAAAACCAAACAAAATGCATACTACTTTGATGAAATGGGAAGAGAACTTGGTTAGTTAGTGCTTGATGCTTTACCTAAGTTATTAAGATCTTGGAAATTGCCTTCCTGTTGTTTTGAAAACAATTCAATTTTTTCAGTTTTCTTCAGAAATAACAATGGACCTGTTTGCCGAAGAAGTTGAGTTAGCAAAGAGGTGTGTGGCTTGTAGCGGAAGCCCAGTCGTCTTTTTTAACAGTGATGTCTATGTAAAGTTTTTATCAGGTTTCAGATCTATAAATTTGCAGTTTGCGGGTTTAATTGGGCTCTTAACTTGAGTTAACAATATTGTAGAAAATTCTTCAAAATTTTCATCGCTGCTTTACTTTTTAACAGCTTGATTCTAGGAGGGAAATCTACTTTTACGAAATGGAGTTAAGATCACAAAAGAAGGCATCATTGGGTGTCCGAAAGGATTGGCTCCGGTGGTGCTGATCGACTATGAGTACGGCAGCTATCAGTATCGGTGAAAAAGACATCATTCAACTTCTCAGAACTTCTGATCATTATAATACGTAACTAGCTTTGACGCCTCTACCATATAATTTATTTCTTTATAATATGACTGGTTATTTTCGAAGAGGGTTTGATCTGTGTCATTACTGCTGCGAATGCTGCCTAAATAACACAAATGAGAAATGGCCTGGATATTGTATAAGGGAGGACCACTGGCCTGATGAATCGCACCAAAAAAGGTTTGCAGAAGGATATTTGGATCAATTTGAAATGGTTGGTTTGTGTGCAGTAAACTGACAGTAATGTGCAAATGCCAGCATACCCTATGCGTCTTTTAGATAACCAGGGATAATGGTGGTAAAAGGCCTCCGTGTGCTGTTGGTTTACCGGTAGATCGTGAAGCAGCAGTGGAAAGGTTGTTAACTAAGATCAGGCAGTTTGTTGCGTTACCTCACTTGTTTTCGGCAATATGGTGTTTTAGGCAAGCTGAAGACTTTTCAGCTGTTGCTTCTAGATATGATTTCTTTGAATATGGTTTTGATCGCTTGGCAGCATATTATAAGTGGAAGCCAGAAATGATGAAATATTTAAAATTGGTTTAACTCAAAACTAATACGTTTTGTATATAGCCGTTTGTTTTGTTTCTTTTCTAACTGTACATAGAAAGTATTAATCGCTATAAAACGAACAAGTGAGTTTTACTTTTATTTCTTTTTGCTTCTTTTTCTTTATTGTAATATAAATCGTGAACAAAATATTTTCTTTTGAATCTTTGTGGCTGTAATTTCTGCTATAAATCCTGATCAGTGTCGGAGAATAAATCCTAACTTGATTCTGAATCATCCTTGGTTACTGAAAGTGGATGAAAGTCCAGCATTTGGAGCGACTCTTCAGCTACTCTGATGGAAGTCAGAAATTAAAACACGAAATGGAAATTAGAAAGTGAGTAGAGAAATCAGCACAGCGGTAAAACAAAATTCATACAGCATTGTCAAACAGGATGAGACCACTTGTCGATGTTCCTCATCAAACTGAGGAGCATCGGTAACATAATACAGTAAATTTGGCGGTGACAAATCAAACCGGCGGTACGAGATTGAAAAAAAAACACAAAATTTACTTGTTCACACCACAGTTTGAAGAAGGCGTTGCCAATGCCCAGAGGTTATGGTACTTGTAAGCTCTGTTTTACTCATTCTCGTAGAACAAAGACTTGGTACCTTTTAGGAGACCAAAAAACCAAGAGTGAACAAAACAAAGAGATCTGTTCTTTTTTTTTCTGTGAGGATTAGGATTGTCTTTTTTTTAATAATTGTTAGTGTTGTCCTTTGATACGACTAGAGTTAGTAAAATCATTATTCTCTATCTATTAAGTTTAAGAGTTACTGAATTTGTTCCTGACTGATCCAACTTGGCATTCTGTATCAGGTCAGTAAAATTTTAATTTGTGTTGAGGTTCCTTAAGGAGATTGATCTTTTTGTTTGGACACATGTTTTATAGATTTGTTTTTGTTCATTCTAAATTTGCCTCTAAAGTATTGTAAATAAGTTATTATTAGGGAATACTGGCAGCACTCTATTAGTTTTACATTCATAATCTAAAAGTCTTTTTTCGCTTTGAGAGAAAATTGTTGCTAGTCTACTCTTTGGTCATAATTTAATTCTTTCTATTTATCCTTTTGTCTCTAGTTCATTGTTTTTAAATTAAAAGAGAACAGAATTATAGTTTGAAAGCTATAAAAGTAGAGCTCGTCATAAGAGAGCCCTTTAGACCAATAAGGATGAACAGTATTTCAACAAAAGAAGATTTACTGTATCTGAATAGGTTTAGTTGAGAATTAATTCAGCTCAGATTAAGTTACTGCAGCGTTTCTAAGTCCGGCTACACCACTAAATTTTTGCATGTAAGATCGTGTAAAATTTGTTAAAAGTGGAGAATGAATTCCAGGTTTAAAAGGAGAAAATGTCCACTGAGGCTGTTGGAGATTCAGCAATTTTTTGCAAGGCTGGTTTCTTCTGTACACATGAGAACAAAGTGAAACAATGTCGATTATATAACATCATTTTTGAAATTAGCAGAAATATACGGTAACCACAGAGGTTATTTCAACAGCAGTTTCATCTCAGTACTTTTTTACGTTTGCCAGCCCAAATACAAATAAGAAGTTACACTTATCGTTAGACAAATAAATAAAGCGGCAATTTTCTGTAAAAAATATGTATTGCTAAAATGAACAAGGGAAGAGTATCTGTGAAGTAGCAGGAGCTATAAATAATTAGGAGCAGTCAGGTTGAACCCAAAAAGGCATTAGTTTTTCCGTCACAGTTGGCTTCTTTGCACGGGCAGTTCTTCATACTTTTTGTTTTAAACAGCAGCGGCTATTCTTCTGTTCTTCATTATCAACTGGTCGTCTAAATTCGCTCATGATTATTTTTCCGTGAACGTCCTTCTCTGGTTATTCTTTTCCCACGGTCTTTGGTCAGTAATAGACTGTACAGTTCTACCACGGCAAAACAGCTGTCTAAACAAAGCAGTGATGAATGAGGACAAAATTTTAAATTAGGCAGAATGTAAAAAATTGCTTTTCTCTTCTCTCCTGTTTTCTTTTAAAAGTAGCCGCAACTTCATTTTATTTTTGACCATGCGTTTAACAGGATATGCTCTCAACGGAGCATGCAATGCTTGAATTATTTGATTGTTTAAAAGATCAGCAACAAAAATTATCATTTTTCGTTTAAAGAAACTAATAAGTTTAATAACATGGAAGTTTTTTGTTCAGATTGTTCACAGTTCATATCGCAAACTGACTGCGCGGCTAGGAAGGTATTATTGAATGTCAAAAAGGATTAGCACCTATGGTGCTAGTCAACTACGAATATGACACTTACTATTACCGGCAATTAACGAAGTGCTGAAAAGTACTATCTTATCTAAGCAAAAGTTCCATGTCTTGTAATGGGTATGACCTATGCTACTACTGCTTCGAGTGTTGCCATGACAGTGAAGCTGAGGAGTGGCCAGGCTACGCTGTAAAGGAAAAACAATGGCTTAATGGAGCTCATTCGAAGAGATAAGCCAAGGGATACTTGGATCAGGACCACGCGCTTAGCTGGTATAGATTTTTTTAAAGAAATGGCTGTTTAGACGACAACCTTTTAGGTAACGAAAGCAAGTGGAGGTAGGGCACCACTCTCTGGAGCCGACTTACTCCCTGAACTGCGAAGCAGTTACGAACGAACTGTTACTGGGAATTGCACAGTTTGGTGCGTTTCTTCGCTTAGTTTGGGCTGTATCAAGTTTTAAAGAAGCTGAGGAATTTTCAATCGGTGCTTGCTTCTAAGCACGACTTCTGTGAAGATGGATTAGATTAATTTTAAGTTTTGACTTTATTCATTGATAGATAAATTTAAAAAAAACTATATTGACAAACTTTTTTGGAAAAAGAGTGGAAGACGTGAAATCGTGAAAAAGAAGATAATAATGTGCTCACTGCTAAAAAAACTGTCTAGAAACGAAATGAAGTCAATCTAAAAAGGTTCAAATTTTTGTTCTTTCTCTCTAATTGCTAACAATAGAATCTGATGCTAATGAATAATAATTAGTTGTTGCAAAATTTGACAGCACATATCTTCTTACTTGTTTAATTTCAAGAAATATCTATAACGTTTAAATGTTCACTAAAGATTCTGTTTAAATATTCTTTGTTTAAATATTGTCAGCAAAGTGTTTGCTTTGC